CAGTCCTATCGATCCCATGAATCACAGTAATGGCTTGTTTCCTCTCCAGGTTTTGGGCACAGAAAACATTGCCTGCCCTCCAATCTGTATCGCACTCAAATCTCTGTCCCCGTTATCAATTATTGGCACCAAATTGCACAAACATCTAAAAAAAAACTGCTATTGAGGTGAATTGCAATTACACGGAATCTTTCAGCATGTCACACTTTGGCACCAGTTTATTATGTAAATGTCTGTATCGCCTCTTAATTGTCAAGATATGTCAATTTGGCAGCTGACAAAATACTTCTGCTCTTTCCACTCGGGTGAATTTGAGGCGTAATTTAGCTGTAATCAGTCTTGAAAATTGTCTGACTCGCAGAATTCACTGGAACAAACAGGGATTGTAAATTGCGCATCCAAAAACATGAGAAAAGTTATTCCTTATGTCAAGAAGTTATATCTATGCCAAACATTGCTCATTAGTCTGAGTAGAAACAAATTACCAAAAATGTTTTTTTGGCCTGTGAGATTTTGTAGCTTGTCGTTTATTGTTTATAAGGGTTACAACTTTTAATATTTCGGATTGGCCATGTATGTTTTTAGTAAGTAAAGTTTATTTATACAGTGTCTTTCACAGACCACAAAAAACAATACAAGTACATATGTCGAAGAAGTGCAAAAACAGAGAAAGGCAGGTTTAAGCAGACACAATACATGTAGCGTGAGGGCAGAATGTCTGTCTGAACCATCCATCCATTTTCTTCCCCTTATTCCATTTCTGGGTCGGGGGGTGGCAGTCAGAGCTGCACCCAGTCCACAGAGCACCAGCCCCTCATTGATCCTCCTGCAGGTGGTGAGTCCACAGGAGCTGAGATCTTTCAGTGGGAGCTTCAGGCAAAGTGGGGTTAAGTGTCTTGCCCAAGGACACAACGACAGCAGTCATCAGTGGGAGTCGTGAAGTAGGTCTTGAGGTGGGCTTGAACCCACGACCTTCAGGCCCAAAGGCCAATGCTCTACCAACTGAGCTACTGTCGCCCCTCTGTCTGAACCATAGACTGTAAATATTAACGGACGTAACCCTATCTCCGCCGTTCAAACTAATGGGCCAAAAATTGTCCTCTACTGGAGCTATCCAAAATGGCCGCGAGTGGTCCCGCCCACAAGAATAATGTGAAATAACGCATCTGTGCATGCGTCAGCCGGCGAGAGCTCCATTCATTTAAACGAGTGACTTCAAAAATTCACAGCGACTAAACTAGACTGGTCCAGAACACTCCCTCAGCATTGACACACATGTGGAACGGAGCTTTGGACCAAGAGCCACTTTTGGACCATCCTGCAAAGAAGTTTTCCAGAGGTAAGAAGATGCTATATGTTAGCATTGGCTAATTCTTATTCCAGGTCCACCCCCACAGGCCCGGGGTGGTATTGCAGCATGTCAGCGCACGTCATTTTGGCCACTTTTGAGCCGGGACCCTCCCCCACTGGTCAGAACAAATGTGTTCTCAGTCGACTCTTGAAAGTTACCAGAGTCCAACTTGTGCAGAGACTGTGGAATCTCATTCAGAAGGCAAGGAGCAACAACCTTTGAATTATCTGTCTGGGTTTTAAAACAAGTGCGAGGGACCATCAGCCGGTCCTGGCTCCTGTTTTAGTCATAAGGCTGTATTCAGGGGCCTGACCATGAAGAGCAATGTAACAAATAAACCTTTAGTGTCTTTTCTTATTCTGTACGTGGATCAGAACCGTAGACTTGGGAGGACAGAGCTTACCTGTTTGTTAGAGCACCATTTTGTCCATGATTTCTGATTTTCTTTATAATACCGCCTTTTCACTGCACATCGGAGTCTCAAAGCGGTTTACAATTGTTATTTTTGGGAGTGGGGCCAGTACAGGAGGCACATGCCAGACCTATTGTACATATTTTTAGTGGTAGGGGAAACCGGAGCACCCGGAGGAAACCTACGCAGACACGGGGAGAACATGCAAACTCCACTCAGAAAGGCCCTGGTCCAACCGGGATTCGAACCCAGGACCTTCTTGCTGAGAGACGAGAGTGCTATCCACTCAGCCACCGTGCCGCCCAGTAAACAGCTGTTTCTCTTCAACCTCCCTTTTTACTCAGAATGCTGGTTTATTAGAACATTTGGGTTTTAAAGCTCTACATGTTCCTTTTGTTTTTATGGATCACATAAAAAACACTACATGCGTTTATATGTGATCCATAAAGGATTTGTCAGCTCTACGTTGGCAGACACTTTTTAACGTTAATCAATGCAAACCACTGCTTCCACGGTCTGGCTTTTGATGCAGACCAAGCCAACACAGAATGTATGGCTTGGTCTGCATCCACCTTGACCACTTTGTTTGACCCTAAACTACAAACAGACATCATGGCTTCAAAGCAAAAAGGAACAAAAGCAACACAGAGACATTTACCAGTTTATTATGTAAATGTCTGTATCGCCTCTTAATTGTCAAGATATGTCAATTTGGCAGCTGACAAAAAAACTTCCGCTCTTTCCACTCGGGTGAATTTGAGGCGTAATTTAGTTGTAATTAGTCTTGAAAATTGTTTGACTCGCAGAATTCACTGGAACAAACATGGATCATAACATTTTGCATCCAAAATCTTGATATATTAAATACATATATATAAGTACAAATACATTAAGAAAGGTAAAAAATAAAAGTCTGAAAGATTTTTTTTTTTTTTTTGTGAATCCTGAAGTTACCCTGTTTCATAACATTATTTACATTATTAGCAGGCTGTTTGCTCTGTAATTTTCCAATAGCTTGCCCCTAAACCCCCAAAATCCTTACCGTCACCTGTTGAAACCTCCTCCCACTGCTGTAGAGAATGTTTTCTAATTGCACATTGTTGCCTCTGACAGATACAGCCACTTCAACCAAACAGGGGTAACTCATTTAATATGCTAATTACACTGCGGGGCATCTTTTCCACATTATCTTGGCCTGTGGGTGGCAATAGGGGTTAAAGCATATGCCTCTGCTTAATCTGATGCTAATTGAGCGTTCATGTCTAACGACTGTTTCAATACAAGTCAACAAATAACGACAAATTAGCGGGAGTCGAAAATCTTCAGTGTCTTGTCTCATTACGTTTTCAGTAAGAGAAAAGATGGAGTAGATACGTGCTTATTTTCACCACTTAAATGCCGCAATCCAGTCGTTTTCTCTCGTGCGTCACCAACTTAATGATTAATGTTTTCTTAATACGGATCCGTCACTATATACTTGCAACGGCTTGTGTGCACTGAAATGGAAAATCAAGTCTTGTGAATGAAGAGAGAATTATCCAGGAAGTTTAATCAGGTTCTTTGAAAGCATGAGACCTTTTCATTTGGGATAGTTATGAGTTTGAGCTAAATCTCCTTATTGCATTTTTATATGGATACATTTATTCAACGCGCTGGGAGGAGGAAGGTTTTCAGTATTAGGGATGAAATGCTCAGCGCTTGTTTTTTTTTAAAACTGAGGTTGATTAGCCGCAAAGAGATTGAGTACACGCAAAAAAATGTACATCCAAATGTATCCCTGGAATGCATTTTATCAGAACGATACTGTAATGAGACACACGTTTAGTTTTTCTATGACATTGTGAGAGTTTTGGATTTGTTAATGTATAAATGGACCAATTGTGAAGGTAAAAGTACTTTAAGTAAGTACTCTTTATACCTCTATTCTATACAAACAAACTTGCCTAGAGTATTATTATTATGATATAGATAGTGTTTTTTAAGCAGAATATCAATCAATCTTTATTTATAGAGCGCTACTCAGGGCAACACAAAGCGCCTCACAGTCCACACCACACAAGACACACAAATCATCACCATTAAAAATACACTAATTAAAAACATTAAAATCACACAAGTAATAAAAAAAAACGAAACTTTTAAATCACACAAAGAGTTATAATAATAAATAAGGGTGCGTTAAAAAGATAATATTTTTCAGTTGTATGCACTGTTGTAGGCAGCCAGTCTCACATCCTCAGGAAGACTGTTCCAGATTTTAGCAGCATGAATCTGAAATGCAGCCTCGCCATGTTTAGTCCTGACTCTGGGCACTAACAGGAGTCCAGTCCCTGTGCTCCTCAGAGTCCCAGCAGGAGTCCAGTCCCTGTGCTCCTCAGAGTCCCAGCAGGAGTCCAGTCCCTGTGCTCCTCAGAGTCCCAGCAGGAGTCCAGTCCCTGTGCTCCTCAGAGTCCCAGCAGGAGTCCAGTCCCTGTGCTCCTCAGAGTCCCAGCAGGAGTCCAGTCCCTGTGCTCCTCAGAGTCCCAGCAGGAGTCCAGTCCCTGTGCTCCTCAGAGTCCCAGCAGGAGGCGAGTCCCTGCGCTCCTCAGAGTCCCAGCAGGAGGCCAGTCCCTGTGCTCCTCAGAGTCCCAGCAGGAGTCCAGTCCCTGTGCTCCTCAGAGTCCTAGCAGGAGGCCAGTCCCTGTGCTCCTCAGAGTCCCAGCAGGAGTCCAGTCCCTGTGCTCCTCAGAGTCCCAGCAGGAGTCCAGTCCCTGTGCTCCTCAGAGTCCCAGCAGGAGTCCAGTCCCTGTGCTCCTCAGAGTCCCAGCAGGAGTCCAGTCCCTGTGCTCCTCAGAGTCCCAGCAGGAGGCGAGTCCCTGCGCTCCTCAGAGTCCCAGCAGGAGGCCAGTCCCTGTGCTCCCAGAGTCCCAGCAGGAGGCGAGTCCCTGCGCTCCTCAGAGTCCCAGCAGGAGGCCAGTCCCTGTGCTCCTCAGAGTCCCAGCAGGAGGCCAGTCCCTGTGCTCCTCAGAGTCCCAGCAGGAGGCCAGTCCCTGCGCTCCTCAGAGTCCCAGCAGGAGGCCAGTCCCTGTGCTCCTCAGAGTCCCAGCAGGAGTCTAGTCCCTGTGCTCCTCAGAGTCCCAGCAGGAGGCCAGTCCCTGTGCTCCTCAGAGTCCCAGCAGGAGTCCAGTCCCTGTGCTCCTCAGAGTCCGGGCTGGTTCATATGGGACTAACATATGTTCAACCCTTTGTCTTCCACAGGGCGTCCTCCGCTAATGATGTCGTGGTGTCAATCTGCGTCATCTTCGCCATGTCCTTCATCCCGGCCAGCTTCGTCCTCTTCCTCATCCAGGAGCGCGTCTCAAAAGCCAAACACTTGCAGTTCGTCAGCGGAGTCAACCCTGTCATCTACTGGCTCGCCAACTTCGTCTGGGACATGGTAACCGCGGCTCTCCACAAGTCCTCACTTCACCCTCTGGATTATGTATCTTCCCCTGCTCTATTCTACCTGCGGCTATGTATGAAATCTTGCATTTTCTGTAATTGGTAATGTGGCTCTGAGACTGCAGGTGCGTTGGAAAAAGCAGTGGATATAGGCCGAGCAATAATTGTTGGCACTGTCCATCCCCCAGTTGGTGGCGCTCAACAGGATTATAGGTCATTCCCCTTCAGGCGTAACAGAAGTAAACATTTCATCAGCGAGTCACAGTCAAAATGCAGTAGTGCGGCACTTTTTCATTATGGGCTCTTGACAAAACAAATGTGCTGAAGACAAAGGCATAATGATCGCACCCTGCAGCGATCGACCACTAAACTATTCTGGAAAATCTGTCTCGAAAGAAGCTTCAATATTTTTAATGAAAGGGTAAATAGATATTCTCCCTGTACCAAGATGAATATAGAAGTAACACGTTTAAAGTACATTATTTACTGTTTTGTAAGGAGCTACAGCTGCATGGATCCGAAAGAGCTTCTAAAAGGCAAAGTGAACTCTTTTGAGTGTTTGAACCAGTTTCAACTTGTTTTTAGCCCTATCCATGCTACTATCAGAGATAATTGGCACAAAGTTGTTACCAGCCCTAGATTTATTTTTATTTTTCGTATGGATAAAATTAAAATATTATATTTGTACAACATTAAAATAATCAGTTGATTATCGCATTAATTCAATAACATATTAGACTGTAAAATATTATAAACCCTTAGAATATATGAACCCTGAGAGATATTTCTGTCCATTAAAACACAAACGTTCCATTCGGGATGTATTCAGTTTTTTTACAACACCAAACAACAATTAATCAGTGCAATGTTGGAGTCAAATCAGAATCTAGCAGAATGTGTTTTCCTTCCTCACACATAATTATAACAATATTAGTAATAATTAATGAGTGACTAAACACACGATGCAGCAGATATCTGTCATTCTGCAGGTTTTTTAATAATATCTGTGTTTGTTTCTCTTCGCAGTGCAACTACTTTGTCCCTTGCGTCATCGTGATTGTCATCTTTCTGTGCTTCCAAACCAAATCGTACGTCTCCCCACCGAACCTGCCTGCATTAATTCTACTGCTCAGTTTATACGGGTAAGCAAGCTTTTTCATGTTACTACACATGCATGTATTCAATATTAGAACGCCCAGCTGTCACCATTAGCAACAGGACATCTCTTGAATAAAAACTTGCCGCCGCATTGATTCCACAAAACCTGCAAACGTTGATTTTAATATGACGGCGGTGGTTTAGGGAGAGAGAAAGGTTGCGTGAGGCTTTTATTTTGAAAAGCCACGATTGGACGATTGGACTGTGTGGGTTTGTGTCCAGAGCCTTCACCCGGTCGCTGAAAACATTGAATTAACAGAAGCCGTGAGAACCCATTATCACACTCAACACTTGGCATTCACAGTTAAAAATCTCCAGCTGAAATTAAGAAAGAAAATGAAAGCAAAACAAATCAAAGTCAAATTCAAAACATGCTGTAACAAAAAGGAAAGAAAAATTCATCAGATTTTAAAAACATCCAAAAAACGTCTCGAAATTTGCTAAAAACCTCTTTCGTCTAAACTCCTTCCTCGTCTACTCTCGCCTCTCAGCAAGAAGTTTCTGGGTTCGAGTCCCGGTCGGAACAGGGCCTTTCTGAGTGGAGTTTGCATGTTCTCCCCGTGTTCGTTTTCCCCTACCACTAAAAACATGCACAATAGTTCAAGGTGAATGAGTGTGTGTGTGTGTTTGTGAGTGAGAATGTGGGACACCGGACGCAAATTAGTCCAAGGTACAATCTGGAGTGATGTGTTCGTGAACTTGTACTGTCCCAAATAAACAATAAATAATAAACTATTTCAAACTCTGAAACCCATGACAGATTTGAGTTGATTTTGTCTGAACAGGGGATGAGCGTGTTCTCCCTCTCCATCAGAAACGACAGTATTTTGCGTTCTTGATAGTTAGTTCCTGAGTGGCCTCACACGTTTTCGTTTCTAATTTGTTTCAAGAGGGAGAGCCGGTGAAAATGTCCTTAAAAATAGTATAATTGTTGCTGATTTAAATTCTATATAAATGTTCAAATCTCAATATACATTTCTTGCAGTAGGTACGACCATTACGTTCTGTGATCGTCAACAAGATAGAATAAACAGAATGTTATTTAAATATGAATACAAATTAATAATCATAATAATAATCATAAAACTACTGCTGCTGCTGCTGCTGCTACTACTACTGCTACTACTGCTGCTGCTGCTGCTACTACTGCTACTGCTGC